AAAAAATTGTTCTGATCATCGTTATCGAAGTGAATAATCATTCGACTTTCCTGATCGGCAAAAAGTCATATTGAAAAGTGTCTAATGCCGGAGTCGCTCAAACGTCGGTCGCTCAAATGTCGGGGTCGCTCAAGTGTCGGGCGCTCAAGTGTCGGGAGCTTAAGTGTCGTACGCTCAAATGGCGGGCGCTCAAATGTCGGGCGCTCAAATGTCGGGCGCTCAAATGGCGGGCGCTCAAATGGCGGCGCTCAAATGTCGGGCGCTCAAACGTCGGTTGACGGAAAATAAAAGTGTGAAGAGGAAAACCGTGAAAACATTTTCATGCCTTTTAGTTGACGGTTTTGTCGAAGGTTCAAAATTCATTAAAATATGTGTAGTTTCAGTCGTTAGCACGTAAAAAGTCCTCCTAATCAACTAACATAAATTCAAGAGAGCGAGCCTTGAGCTTCTCGACAAATCTATCTCACACTCAGGATTATTCAGTAAAGAGCATAGCCGGGTAGATAAGTGAGTAAAACTAGCACTTGAGACAGGCAGGAGGGGAAGGCGTCTTCCAGGACATGTTTCTGCAGAATATGCCTGTTTTGTGAACTTTCTCGTTTTACAAATTCTTTTCTTTAAAACTGGGATTATCTTGAAATTGTTCTGATGCCTATAGTCTTAGAAGGTAGAGAGAAAGGGTATATTAAATATTTTCTTCTAACCATAAGTTTCTAGACGTTCATCATAGAATACACTCGATGGTATCATATGAAATATGTACACACCTGTACAGTTAGCGTTTCTCTTTTATATCTCAAATGCATGTACCATAGCGAGGAGCTTTACAAATTCAACAGCGACAGCTTTTCGTAAGCTGCTGAAGTTTTTACAGAAGTCTATCCAAGAACATGACGAGTATGCTGTGCGAAGACATACTTCTGTAAGTTCCTTAGTTCAGTGGTTTGTGTCTTGGTCTCATAATTCATACTCGCCAAGCGTCTCAGGTTCGATTCCTGGAGGAGCTGTTCTATTTTTCTATCCTTTCAAAGTGGACGGTTTTACTTGTACAGTTTTATCTGGACGGTTTTTCTAATAGTTTTAATACCGTCAAAGCAAAACTGTCATATAGGAACCATAGGAAACAAAAGCATGAACAACAAAACCCGTGAAAAAAAACTATGCCGAACTGACTGCGAGAAACAGCGTATAAAAACCGTCATGACTTTCACGGTTTTTTTTTCTCCGTGTAACCTATCACAGACCTACTCTATTTACGTACACGATACAAACAAACTCATTAGCGATCAGTCGTTAACTGTACAAGTACTACAGAGCAATAATCAATTATTATGTCAGCTGACGAATGACATTGGAACGTATCTCAAAGAACTTGGAGACAAGTGCTTAAGAAAGCAGGATAAAAAAAGAGCTCAAGAGTATTACAGTAAGGCAAAAAAGACATATGACACACTAACGAAATATTTAGAAGAATGTGATAAAAAATAGTGCATGATGTTTACACAAATACTTTTGCGACACTCACTAGACAGATGTTTCTAACATATGGAAACTTTAGAAATGAATGAGAACATCAGTTATTACGCCTGGTGGGTCTTGCCACAATACTTTTTATTCACAATAAATGTTCGAAATTCATTGGTAAATCCTCCAATGAATGGGAAAAATAAGGTTTTTGCTTAAAATAAGTCACTTCTACCCGCATCTGACACTTTACTAATCCCATTTTGCATATCTACTTGGACCGCTTTAAAATAAACATATGTTTAATTAATTTGCCGTTTGTATTTAGTGAGATGAAGACGAATAGCTCTATGTATTACTTTGTGTCGGTGTAACACTAATAATTGAATAAATTTAGTAAAATAATAATATTATACAATTGTTCTTTTAGTTGTGATTAAGCAGGAATAAGTGCTATTTCTGGTTCATTTAAGATTGTACTCTTCACATTTCAAAAAAATGATTTGTAGAATTATCTAATTTGGGGCTTAAATTTTTCATTTTAAGTAATATTTCAGACACATAGTTATGGCACACGAGCCAAAATTTATGATCGTGTTATGTGACCCATCAAAAACCTATGAGCATATTACACACGAATTCCTTCAGCTTAAATTGTTCGATGACGTCCAGTCATGCCTTCAATACACAGTTCTCCATTTTAATAAGGAAATGTCGATCTTTATTCCAGGAACGTATAGCAGAGAAATCGTCGATCAACTACAAAATTTCGTCTACGTTGAATTTTACATTTATTGTGTTGCAAATACGTTGAATAATTATCTTACAATGAAACAAGAATATTCGAAAGTTCGAGAAGTATTCGATGAAACAAATTTGGTTATTCGACTGCATCATGTAGGCGCAGTGTGTAATATTCGACAACGCGAGCTTTTTCAAGAAACAGGCGATCATGGACTGGCTAATATACATTTCACGCAAGTGATTAAACATTACAAAGCGATATCAGACCATCTAGAAAGATTAGCCTATATGGACAATGATGTCATTGAAGCCACAAATCAGTAAAGGAACCCAAAAACCCTTGGCATATTTTTTAATAAAATAAGTGTGTTTACCCAGTGAGCAAAATTTAAGTGGTTCTGATGTGCATTCCTTAGCCATACAACTACATTTTGTTGTATGTTGATCTTCTCCGGCGCGTAGTGCCGGATGCACGTCGGAGGAGTAACCGCGAGTTAAAACATTTTTTTAGCTATTTTCTTAAATGATCTTGTATAATATCTTTTGGGTTTTTTTTAATTCTTTAAATTATTTTTGTGCGATGCATGGCTTTGGGGTTTTTTTGACTGAAAAGATAAACAAAAACGAAGAAAAGAAAAAAAGAGAGTAAGTTTTCTGAGGTTTTTTTTTCATTTTTTAAAAACTTTTTATTTTTATTAAAACTTCTATTCAAATTCTTAACATGATAGCTGCAATTATTCTTAAATTTTTATTCTTAACCTTGCCCATAAACTTTCCAAATGTTGAAGAAGGTGCTGTTTTAAAAAGGCTAAAGCTGAATCGCCGTGTATTGGTTCATTAGTAAGAAAAAACCAAGTATTTGATAACGACATCGATTATCAATTGCTAACAGTGGAAAAAATGGATTTATTAAAGTACCAAGAACAATTAACACGGTTAGAGAGAGAGATGATCAATATCGCTATAGATTCTAATAGCTCTAGATTTGAGACTTACTTCTTGGTGCACATTGAAGAACGAATATTTGTTAAAGTGGACGACTGAGCCAAGAGGTTCATATTCTCCGACGATCCACCATTCCGCGCCTCCTTTGAAAAAGCGACACAAAAGACTCTTTTTGAAGATCCCAACACAAAAGCAAACATTTTAGACGCTTGTCTGTTTCCTTTTGTTCATTTCGCACTTCTGATATGAAACCCGTCAGATAACTCTAGACTTTTTCTACGATACGTAGTAAGGAAAAAACGCAAATCGATCTCTGCAAAGGTCGCTGTGTATGCATATCATTTATTGGCAGTGTGTGCGAAAATATGATTTCAAAAGCATTGAAAAATCGAAAAAACGTACGTGTTTGGACCCTCTCAATTCTACATAACAATTAAGTTATGAATATGTGCAGGTAAACTGAAATCAATAAAAATGAATTTAAGTGAAAAAATTGATCAATATGTATCATGGTGATATTTCGAAATTAAGCAAGAAAATGAGAAAAGAAAAAAGCATATTTTTTGCCTAAAACTTTCTTTTATAGTTACTTGATTAGTTTGTCTTTGTGTTTAGAAATGGAATTCATTTAAACTCTTTTTGTATAAAATAAAAGTTGACTGATGGAAAATATTACAGTTATTTAGTGGCTGTTTTGACAAGATTTGTTTCCACTTAGATTTTTATGCAAACTAAAATATATTTCAGTGTTAGCTTGTTTATTTTCTTACAAAAAGAAATAGATATAAAAAGTGCAAAAAATAGGTAATGTTTTTTCTATTGTTTTTTACCATTTTCCGTACAATATTGTCTTCTGTATAACTCATTGCGTTGTTCATTCCATCGTCTAACATCTTCTTTTCCTCTGAGCATTGCCCATAAATATCTTTTCAATGGAAAAAATGTTGACGTTGTCTGTTTATACAGTTGCCAAATTTCCGTGCCTTGATCCTTTTCAATTCCTTTTTCATGATGAACAACACCAATATAGGTATAAACAACCATAAGAGATACAAATAAAAATCGACCGAATGACATTTGTTTAGCCATGAGAAGACCAAAGATTTGGGCACCAAAAACTGGTTGTCGTACAAATTTGTGGAAAGCTGTTAAATGTTCTTTTGGATGTTGACAATAATGTATACCTAAAACAAAAGAAGATAAAAAGATAGGCCATGATTAAACTACAAATTCATTCTAGTTCTGTAGCTGTTGTCACTAAAGAAAATCTTCAGAAAACCTTGAGCTTTCAACGAAAAACCTGTCAAAATCCTCAAAAATAAAACATTTTTTTATCAAAGTAAGCTTTTAGGAAGAGAAAAACGTGTTCTGCCCAAAATCTCTAAGCTCAAAATTCAGCCTTTTCAAAATGCCATTAGTCGTGTCTCTGGCTTAGCTTCGCTGAAGGTTCAGCGTCGAATCTTCTCTTGTATTCTTCCAAAAATGGATTATTGTTATGCCTTGTATGATAGTTCTTTCTTTCGCTCTATTCTTGACTCTGTTAATAAACTTGCTGCTCGTATTATTTCTCATAATTTCGATTACTGCTTTTCTAGCTCTTTACTTGGGTCACAACTTTCTCTTCCAAATTTCTCACTTCGTCGTCAATTTTTTCGACTTCTACAGTTTTTCAAAATTTATCATTGTTTTAGTTCTCTTTCTATCCTTTTCACTGTCCATCGTCACACTGTCATCATTCTAAATATGTTTATATTCCATCCTCTGTCAATGGTTTTTCTTCTTTTTTCTATTCAACTATTACTGACTCGAATAAACTTCCTGAGTCAGTGATCTGTTGTTCTACTTTAACGTCTCTCAAAAAGGCACTAGCTCAGTATCTCTTACAGTAAACAAGTCAGCCATGCTCCTAGTCATATTAAACTTGTGTTAGTTCTCCTCTTTAATGCTATTTTATTTATGTTTATTTCATCGTTACTTTATACGTTATACACTCTAGTTTCTTTTTTCGCTTCTTTTCTTCTGTTTTTATTTATTTATTTCATTTCATTTTATTTTTGTAGTTTGGCTCGCGTCATTGAGTCATTGATGTTAAAGGGAATGTTTGATAATTCTCACTTTCCGTGAATAAACTAATCTTAGGGGATAGTTCAAATCAAAGAAAACTGATATTACTGTGGAGTCGGCACGGTCAAAAACCTCTAGGCTCTGATTTTATGTCGATATTTCGGTTTTGCACGTGCTGGAGTTTTTCTTCACTTTTTCGAAAGACGCTCATTACAAAAATTCAAATAGCCCTGCAGGCAAATACATTTTTATGATCAATAATGAAGAAAAGGCAAGGACGAAAATCTCGTGTGAGAAAAAAGTCAAAACTTTTCTTTATCAACCGTAACGTTGGTCATCAAAAAACGATTAAGTAAGAAACTCAAATGGGTGAAAAATGCCTAATTTTACATTAGAATTTTGTCTTAACGCTTCATCCGTACTTGACCTCTGTATCAAAAAGGAGTTCCCCTTTGGAATCCTCGTATGACTACTCTGATATGGCTCAAAACCAGAAAACACCAGAGAATATAAACGAAATACAAAATTCAGCTACAGTTTTCATAAATTTGTGGAAATTCTTGGCTTAATAAGGGTTCTCAAGACTAAAAAGCTTCAGATTCTCAAGCAGGCCTTCTGAACCTAATTTCGTTCATTTTTCCAACACTTACCGGTAAAAGCTGTCCGTATACTGAACTGATCATAGAACCAGGCTTCACAAATACACAAACACGTTGCCCCAATTCCACAAATGAACATAAAATCGACAAATTTTCCAATGATCGGCGGCAGGTGATACAACGTTGTTTCCCATCGAGATATTGGTCGCCAAAAGACGTACAAGGAATGCAATGCCACCCATGACAATCCAATATACGCTGCTCGTTCACCCACTTTACCACCAAACTTTTGAATAGATCTTCGTATTGGGCCGTGTGCCATAGCTGAATGTTGAAATGAGAAAATGGCCATCAATATAAAATTGATTAACAAGTTGTTGAATGTAATTCTATTTGGAACATCATCCGATTGGATGGCTGAATAGGAATCAACTGAATAGGGAAATAGATAACGAGCGAGCCATGATTTAGGATATTTTGCGGAAAAATTTGTAGAAAATAACAATGTTGAACAAAAACAATGACACATCCACAAGTATAAAAACAATGCCATAAATTCTTGAAAAAGACGCTGTATAGTTACTGCCATTTGACTGTGTTTCTGAGATAAAATGAATGAATGAAAAAAATAACAATGCACTACTGCTACAGTAAATAAAAGAAAAAGAAAACACGTTCACATTTGTACACGCAAGTTCTGGAAGAATAGAACGCGTTGTTAGAAGTTCCCTTGAATTTAGTCTAGGGTCTTACAAACTGGTTGTCTGTGTGCGCAAAATACGGAAAAATGGGTGCCAGATATTCTATGGATAGGCGAATCACAAGAGATAGAAGTAGAAAATTATTTTTTACAGAAGGGAGAAAATATTCTAAGAGATGATCTGAAATAATCTCTCTGAAATAATCTGAGATGATCTCCCGCTGCAGAGAGACAAAAAGTTAAGCAAATGTTTTCTGTAGACCGGGGATAGATGTCACCAGATAGCAGTCGACTGTGATAATACAAAGAAAGTCGGCTACGGATAATAAAACTTAGTGTATAGAGAATCTATCATAGCGAATCGATTAAAAGTAGTTTAAATCTCCTTAGGATCCGTAGAGGGTGTCCAGAAAACCTCTTAGCTTTATTTACATTAGACGGTTTTTCCGTGGAAGCAGAGAAGTTCACAGCGTTTGTCAGCTATAGTGGCTGCGAACGCCGACTGAAGGGAGGTGTGAGCATCGCTTTGAGTTTAGAAATATTTTTAGACCTCTGGGATATTTTGCCTTTTATATTTATATTAGATTACGAACCCTACACATGAAAACAGAAAAACATTAAGAAGATGGCTTAATAGGGCCCGAACGAGCGCCGACCGAAGGGAGGCGTGAGCATTGTCTTCGATTTAAAAGTCACGAAAGGGCGTTCGATAGCGCAGATCCAGGTTATTAAAGTCAAGGAACCGAGCGAGTGGAGACGAGCGTTACCTTGTCTGATAAAAATGACGTTGTAAGAAGTTAGCATCCAATATTAGCATCCAAACGTTGTAAGAAGTCGTTGTAAGAAGTTAGCATCCAATATTAGCATCCAAAAATGGCCGCCGATGATAATATTTTTTCTGTTCTCTTCAATGTTCGTTGAATACGAATTCATGCAATGGCTTTGAAGTTCAACAGATGTCATAGGATTCTGGATATGATCGTCGAGTGTAGATTTTATATCAACCAAAAAGCATTTTACATTTGAAGTAATATCCTTGCGTGAGGGGAAGAGTACAGATTAGATGTAAGATAATTCATTGTGTCTTAATAAAAGGTTAAAAAAGGTAAAGTACCCAGAATAAGGAGAATCGGGTTGAACTGAGGCACTTTTAAAAGCTGAAGGTGTTTGAAAAAACTTACTTGTCGACTCAGTGATGCCTGTCCTTCAGTGTGTGTAAGGCAAATGCCTCAAATAAGGAGGCATCAACTCTGACATGAAAGGAAGAAAAGGAACTTATCGATTTAAGATTTTAGCGTTGTGAATTATTGTAGCAGTGAATTGTATTGCAATGGTCTGCTAGTAATTTTTAAAAATTTCAGAAATGGGGCGATTTTAACGGGAGAAATTGTATAAAACCGCTTATAGATCGCGGATAATTTTCGACTTGTTTTGCACAGTTAGTAATAGTGAATAATGTTTAGCTAACTGTGCCCTATCACTCTTGTAATGCCCATACAGAAAAAACCGCCTAAAAAAGCGGTCAAATCGGCTAAATGGCTATGTAAAAGACCGCTGTAGTCACCCGAATTTGTTTGAAAATAACCGCTTTGCCCGCACAAAACCGCGGTCAACGACCGCGTAAAAAAAACGCCTATAGCCGCGTTTTTTTTTGTGAAAAAGCCGCCGCCAGACGCAATTTTTTTGTTAAAAATCCACGGGTTTTCTAATACAGTATTCATCTAAAAAACACCCGAATTTGTTCCAAAATAGCCGCTTTTGATACAATTTTAGATTTGTTCTACATATGTTACGCACTTTTATTATTAATTGTGAAATATTCATATATTCATATTCATAAAAATCACTACAGTTATATCGGCCATTAACCGAACTTTTTAAACTTAGATGGCTTTTTAATATAAATAATAAATTCTGAGCAAAAACTACAATATTTTATCCTAGTACATAGCAATTCTTCCCCCACTCGGTTTTTCCTATCAGTTTGTAGAGGACACTTTGAAGTATATATTTCAATATTTTTTTCGGGTACCGGAACTACAGTTTTTCAGAAAATAATTTTTAAGTTTAGTCTTCGTTTTTTGCTGCATTTTTAAAAGTTTAATAGAATTTTCAGATTTCTATATAACCTCGGTTTTGATGTCAGTCGATAGAGGACATCAAGATGTATCTACAAAAAAGTCGCTCAAGCTTTTGGTCAAGCTTTGACTGAGTTATTCCGATTTGACCTGCCCGATGGCATTTTGGAGCAAGAAGTATTTTTAAAAACACTTTGAACTAAATTTCTCACGAAGGAAACATTTTCAAGGAAAAGTGCGGGTACGAAAGTTGTTCAGAATCAGATTCCCTGGAATATGAACGAACGATTTTTCAAAATTCATTAAACTCGATTTTTAAATTGAAAAATACGACTTTTTAAATTTTAAAATTTAATTTAAAAGTCTGGTTTGACGAATTTTGAAAAATCGTTCGTTCATATTCCAGGGAATCTGATTCTGAACAACTTTCGTTCCCACACTTTCCCTTGAAAATGCTTTCTTAGAGCGAAATTTGGTTGAAGGTGTTGTGAAAATATTTTCGCTTAGCTAAAATTTAGAGAAATTCTTTAGTTTTGAATTGTTTTGTTAAATTTTCCCAGTTTGTAGAGGACACTTCGAAGTATATGTTCTGAAGCTTTTTCAGCATACTGACCTTGGTTGACTGAGAAAAAAATTAATTACTTAAAAAAATATTGTTAAATTTTTGACCACGGGACTGTTATAAAAAAATTCTAATGAATGAATTGGATTCTAAAACTCTTAAGCTAGCCAGTCTTGTAGCTCGTGAAATTCTCTGTCAGGTGAGCTATAGCTTAAATTCTTTTGTTGAGTTTGCAAATGGGACTGTAAGGTAGTAGAGTAGACTGAATTAACCTTAATTAGTTGTAATTAGTTCATAACAGGAAGGAAAGAACAAAAATGTTTACATATTTTCTCGAAGTAAATATTCTCCACACATGTCTCTATCGATCTAGACAAGAATCAAGTTTTTATGATGAATGGAGAATGGACAGGAATTCTGCTAATAATAGTCCCTTGTTCAAAAACTTTATTATATAAAAACAA